GTTTTGCTTTTTGTACATTGTCCCAGAGGTCTTACATATTCTATTCCTTGATCATCTTAGATTTGACTTTTTCTTTGATTGAGCAATCCATTTCCCCAAGCTGGACCTCAAGATCTGATATTATCTGCTCCGTCTCTTCCACTTCCTTCTCGCTTCTTTCCTCTAAGCTCTTTGTTTATTTATTTCCAGTTTAATTTCAGATTGGCTTTTCTTCAGAGATTCACTTTATTGAATTCTAGCTCCATGTTTTGAATTATTTTAGATATTTCATTCAACTCTTTTGTGTTTTCAGTTTTTTTACTCATGTCCTCTTTGAATTCTTTGAACATATTTATAATAGCTATTTTGAAATCATTGTCTTGTGCAACCACTTGGTTGTCATTCTCAGGAAACAATACAAACGGGTTCTTAATGTATGTATTAGTCATGTCATCCTCATTATTCGAGTCATTTGTGTTTTTCACTGAGGTCTGGGCATTTGGACTTACGTGGTGCTGTGTCTTGGTAGGGATAAGTGAACTCACTCTTGTTGAGAGTCTGTATCTTGTGCATTGTTTCTCTACGTAGTCATGTTATGGCCCAGCTGAGGAGAACTTGGTGTATAGTTTTGAGGGTCACTTTACATTGATGTACATTTGGGCTGCAAGAAGTGGTCTCAGATCAGCCAGAGATAGGTGCAACTTTGAGTTGAGATTCCTGGGTTGAGTCCAGGATCAGCGGAGTGCGATGGGGACTGCTAGTCAAACAGGTTGCCTGGTAGTTTAGGATGGGAGTTTCCTAGGTCTGGGCTCACAGAGCTCAGATGATAGGGTACAGGGTGGTCTCAAGGTCAGAATTTAGGACCACAAGTCTGGGACAGATAGGGATCCCAGATATCAAGACTGGGCTAACTATTATCCACTATTATTACTGGGCTAACTATTATCATGGTTGCTATTGCTGACTTACTGAACATTTGTAATATCCTGGCATGGGGACATTTATCATCATAAAATAATAAGTGATAATAAAACTTAATATGTGGGGGAAATGAAAGTAATCAATGAAAATGTACCTAACATAATTGATTAATTGAAACCAATAGTAGCTCTCACTAAGGAATCACATAGATGTGTAATTTAATAGTTCAATACCAAATTGCATATACTACACCCACAATTTTATTCTTGAATAAGGGTTGTGTCCAAAACACAGGCCAATCAAGCGTTTTAAAAAGTTCAATATTAATTAACTTTGTTTCTCAAGTGAACCACACAAATTAATTTAAACAGTGACCCCACAGTGACTTCCTTCCACCCGACTGAAAATACAGTGAAAAGCGTGGATGTTTAAATTCTCTCACTCAGCTGTCTGCCTCACTGCAGATGTATATAGTCACTGTATTTTATGACATTGTAAACTTGTGTGGGTTACTAAGAAAATTATTTTGCCCAGAGCAGAACATTATCAGAATTGAAATATATTAGATAAATTTATGAGGTAGTGGTTTCCTTTGAAATATATTTTATTAATTCTTTGAGAATTTCATGTGATGTATTTGCATTATAATCATCCCAACTCTTTACTTTTACTCCTTCTAGAACCAGCCCTCCATTCCCACCCCTCACTATGTGTCCTCTTTGGATTTTTTTAAATTTAATAACCCACAGACTCCAATTCACGCTGCCCATGTACTTCTGGGTGTGTGGCCACCCGCTGGTGCCTGGGAGGTACGTGGCAAACTGTCTCACCCAGAAGAGATCAAATGTGCATAGCTCCTCAGGCCCATTCGATGCCAGGATGTAAGCTGCCTTGATCTTGAACAGGTATTGTGCCAGCAGACAAGCTGCTGTGATTTGACGAGTCCCTAGGTCCTACCGTATCCAGACGGTACTGTGTTAGTCCAGTCTTCCTGATCTTTGCCTCTTTCAGTCTCTCTACACCCTCTTCTGCAATGGTGTCTGAGTCTTGGGGAGGGACTGTGGTAGAGACGTTCCACCTGTGAATGTGCATTCCACAATTCTTGGCACTTTGACTAGTTTTGAGCTTTTGCATTAACCACCATCCACTGCACCATGAACCTTCTCTGATGACATCTGAGGGCTGCATGAATCCTGGTTGGGACTGCTCCACCCCTAGATCTGCAGATACCACTGGAGCTCCTGGGAGAGCCAGGTAGTTTTCTAAAACTGTGAGATGTATTTGCTGATGGAAGAAGGAAGATAACAGAGATCCAGAGCTGACAGGTGCCTCCTCCAAGCTCTCTTCCTCATGATGTGTAGACAGAGCTGAATTCACCCCACCCTGGTCCTCACTGCACAGCTTGGTCCGTCGGGGGCAGAACTTTAGTGGGAATATTAAATAAGTCTGGAAGGTGAAAGACAGGCTACTCGGTTGCTAAGACTTTGTTAGACTTAGCACAGACACAATGAAAATACACATCTTAGAAGAGAGACAGTGTAAAGAATATAAAAATGGGTAATTATTGCAAAAGATATGGAGGATGAATTTTCATCTGCTTGGTGACTGGATCTTGTTTTGACTAAAACATTTTGTTCATAGCCTCCTTGCTGTGTTTATGACTTAGGAAGAAATGTCTGGAAAACAGAAAAAGAGAGAATTGCTTATTCAAGCTTTGACTGTCTCTTCATAATGTTTTGACACAAATAACTTGATTGTTTTTTAAAGTTTCTATGGCATAAAGAAAATACAGATCGCATGTCTGCTCTGATTTCTAGCATTCGAGGCTTCCAGTGGGGGGAGACTGTGTTTTCAAAGTCGTTTTCTCTGGATAGCCTTCAGGTAAATCATTTAGGAATATTTTAAGTTCACATTTAATTGGACACCTCCCTTCTTTGATGACATAACTTTTTAGATTCAAATACAGTATCTTTTAATAACTTGAGATTTTTAAAACTTCATGGGGCTAGAGAGAGGCTCACTGGTTAAGAGCACTGGCTGCTCTTGCAGAGGACCCGGGCTCAAATCCCAGCACTCACATGGCAGCTAACAACTGCCTGTAACTCCAGTTTCAGGGGATCTGACGCCCTCTTCTGTCTTCCTTGGGCATTGCACGACATAGATGCACATACACACAGGTAATACACTCAACACTCATAAAATAAAAAGAAATAAATAAAAAATTTTAAAAATTCTGCCCCTAAAACCATGCCAACTTCTGCCCGGAATGATCGATCATCATTTCAGACTGGTGTGGCTGCACTCCACTGGATTCCTTCATCAGTATTTAGCAGCAGTAGATGGTGGGTGTGGGGTTCTCTCAAGGTGCTCTACGAGTGAAGTATACTGAAACAACTCACACAGTTTGAGGAGACAGCATGACGAGGTTCAGGGCGTCGAGCTCAGGGTTCCTGCTGTCGTCAGGTCCTGCTCAGAGAGTTCGTGGCTCTGATGCTGGGGACCTACGTAGGCTCTGGGCACCCCACCTACCTGAACAGACAGTGTCTTGTTACCCGGGAGGTGACTGAGCGCATTCATGGTTCAAGAAACATCCATCTGAAGTCTGGCACTGTAGACTGCTTTCTTTCAGCCTTCCAAAATATCGGCAGAAGTCAGGCTCGCTCCCTGTGTGCGCAGGCTTCAGAGTCCCTCGGGCTTGCTTGGGCTGCACACGCTAACAAGCTGTGAGAAGTCTGGGACAGCAAAACTCTCTGATGTATCGAATGTTGAAAAACTGAGTTCTGGAATGGCTAAGCACTTCCCAATCACATACAGAGGGGGAGGAGGATATATTTTATAAATACTCAGGATAAGCCTAGAGGTGTGCAGAAATCAGGTGCAGGACTTTTTACAAGGTAATAAATTTCAATGTGACCATTTGGAGAAATAATAAAAGTACCAGAAGAAATAAGACTCTACTAGAGGGACTGTCGTCGGCCTGCTTTGCTCCTCCGCCGGACCACATGCTGAGGTAGAGACTAGCTTCCGGAGTAAATGATAGAAAAGGTGGTAAAACAGATAATTCCCTAAAAACGTCTTCCATGTAAAATATACTTGACGTTTTAGATACGTGATATTTGTTCTCGTGCTTGTTTTCTGTTTCTTCCTTCCTTGTAACAAATAAAGGCTTCAAAAGCCTTTGGAACAGAGGAAACTGTTCTTCCAAACTAGGGCAGAATAGTTAACACTTGTGGGTGTGGGGAATATTGATCACACAAAGAACACACTTTGTCAGCAGAGGGACACTTGTTCTGAGTAGCAGTGTAAGTGCTGATAATCTGTGACTCCAGGCAGTGATGGCTGTGCCCTACTGAGATCATTCATTGGTCTCCTGGGAGTCTGGCCGCCTTTCCTCCTCAATGCAAACACACATCCCCAGGCAAGAAAGTAGTCTGTACTAGGGAGAGAGGGTTGTAAACATGAATGGCCACCTTGACCATGTGACCATGTGTGCATTGAGACTCTTTTCTACGCCAGAAGGAATGAGTCTGTGTGTGAGTGTATGTGTATGAGTGTGTGTGAGTGTGTGACATTGTACGTGTGTAGATGTGTGTGCATGTGTGTTTATGTGTGTGTTTATGAGGGTGTATGTGTGCACATGAATTTGTGTGTATATGTGTGTGTATGCATGTGTTTATATGTGTGTTCATGAGGGTGTATGTGTGTGTGTGTATGCATGTAGGCATGAATACTTACTTGAAAGGCACCAGATAGGACAACTTAATCCACTCTGACTAATAGAAACCATTTCACCAGAAGCACAAGTCTCAAATATTCCAGGCAAGTGTACAGTTTAAAATTCTGATTTATCATCCAGTGCTTCTAACACTATCAACAACCCCCTTTAGCAATCCCACTCAGGTTTCAGACATTTCCACACCCCGAATCCACACAGTAGCATTTTTATGAACTCACAGCACCCAGACCTCAGCAGTTCTCAACAAACGGACACAACTTACAGTGACTTCAGAGGCTCAAGCAGGGCCCGGCTGCCTTCCAGGTGTGGTGTGGGTGTGGAGAGTGTCGGCCGTGGCCCACGGATGGCTGCCTCCTTCAGCGACATGACTGGGTGTCCTTTCACTGTGCATCTTTCTAACGATGATTTCATTGATTTGGTGCGTAGGCGAGAACAAGACTGAAATTGCCTTTGTGACGCTGCAAACTTTTCCAGTTGATCTTTTCTTTCAAATGGTCCCCAAGGGCTGATACTCGGTTTAAGTATCAGTTTAAGACAGTGGGGCGTTTATGCATAGTGTTTATTCTCCACAGTGGAGCCCTCCAGCCGGTGTGAGGCCTCACCTCCTACCTAGTCACTGCTGTCACCCCTTGTCCTCAGGCCTGGGTGGCGCTTCATTCTGAAGTCAGGCAGAAGAACACGAGAATCCAAGTTAGATCGTCAGGTCGGCCTTCTGCAGCGCTGGGCGCCCTCCAGGCTTGCTAACATTGCACAAGGGCTGGGTGCTCTACTGATATGGTCGCTCTTTGCATATTCTCGAAGCTGCTCCTGACAGGGCCCCGTCCTGTTCCTACCAAGTGTCCTTTTGTTTGACGTCGAGATCGGCCTCCTCTCTCCTCTTACATTCTAAGCCTCTTGAATTAATTTGTTAGTATGTCATAAAGACAGAGTTATTGTAAAGATAATGACTTTGTGCTTGTAAGTCTGACACTATAGAGCAGGGAACTTTGTAGGAGGACATTTTGTAGCAACCTAGGACCTATGGCATGGTCTTTTCTCTGTCCTTTTCAAACTAGCAAGGCTCAACCTTGATTATTTAGAGATCACTGGGGTAAAACCACATGTAAATGTAAAGCAGTATTTTCCTCAAAGGAATGAGAGTTTGACAGGCAGACTGCGTAAAAAGTCACACATTCATTTAAAAATTTAATCTACTGATACTGAGGAAGGAAAAGTTAAGTAGAAATAGAAGAAAATCAGACAACCTGGAGAGATATGTTACCATAAGCCTGTCTTCACGAATGGTCTGAGAACACAGCCTCCCATAAAACACAGCATACAGCTTTCAGAACCACAACATCTAAATCATCATTTCTGTCATCCATTTATGAGTTCATTGGAGGACATCCTGGGGATTCACGTCTGGAGTCTGAACTGCTGAGGTCCTCGGGTGGCCAGGGACTAGGCCAGGGGCCCAAGCTGGTGGGATCTCATGAAACCCGGTTTGAGAGGGAGAGTGACTCTGTGTGCGTGCACCGCAGAGGCTGAGATCACAGATCTCCTTCAATTGCTCTCCATCTAGTTTGCTGAGACAGGCACTCTCACTGAACCTGCAGCTTACTTATTAGTTAGACTGGCTAGACAGGATGCTCCAGGGACCCACCTGATTCACCTCCCTCCCCAGAAGTGGACTGCACACGCACACAGCCAGCCGTGCCAGACTTTTGCATCAGGGCTGAAGATTCAAACACAGTCCTCCTGCTCACACAACAAGCACTTTACTGACCTGCTCATCAGCTTCCTCAGACCTGAGAAGTGAAGTCCGAGGTATAGGAGTGCAGGGAACTGTCGGGAGTGGTGGGGTGGAGCACAGTCCCACAGCTGTCAACTCCCTGCTCTGAACTCCGAAGGCTCGGAGGCCCCTCCAGCCTGGAGGTCTGAGTTGTGACACCTGTGGTATGTTGGGGCCACGCAGCTTGTGGTTCTGAGGTCCTCTGAGCTTCCTGGAGAAGGTGGCATGCTGCTTGGAGGTGCTGATGGCTGCTGCTGACACAGAGCTCTGCGAGGCAGAGTCTGGAAGGAGAGAGGAGGGGGTAAGGGAACCAGACCCAGAGAGATACAAGCTGTTTGCAGACAGACCTCACCGATGTCCCCCGTTCTCTCTAGCTCAAGCACTGGTGTGCCATTTTCTGCTTACACTTCAAGGAACATGTAGCAGCCTGGTTTCTTTGGTCTCTGTTTTAAGCCTGATATCTGTTCTGTCTTGAGTCTGCTAACCCATCCCCTCTCTCTTTAGGTTTTGATCTAGTGAAATGTGAGGACCCTGGTATCCCGAACTATGGTTACAGGATCCGAGATGAAGGCCACTTCACTGACACCGCGGTTCTGTACAGCTGCAACCCAGGCTATGCGATGCACGGCAGCAGCACGCTGACCTGCCTGAGTGGGGACCGGAGAGTGTGGGACAAACCACTGCCCTCCTGTGTGGGTGAGTCAGGAAAGTCGGGTCTGACATCCCTGCCAAAGAGATCATGCAACCTGTGGCCTGGGCCTCATTCTTGGGACACGGTCCATGTGCTTCATATACTCCTGAGCTGTGTGTACACATGCTGGGAAGGGACAGACATCTGGTACTGTGTGCACACTTGTCACTAGAATGAGGATGTGAGTGTGCCAGTGTTTGCACGCAGGTATTATGTGCAGATTTGAACTAGGAAGAAATGAAGAAAAGGGACAGAGAGGTGACTGTGATTCTTTTTCTGTGAAGATCATGCAGACATGTTGGCCATGTTTGCAAAAGTAGCTCCATACAAGGCCAGGCACCCAAGTGGACTTCTGCTCTCTGTGTCTTTTACAGCGGAATGTGGAGGTCAGATCCATGCCGCCACATCAGGGCGCATACTGTCCCCTGGATACCCAGCCCCATATGACAACAATCTCCACTGCACGTGGACCATAGAGGCAGATCCTGGAAAGACCATCAGGTATGTGACCTTGGCTGTCAGTCATTTGACAGGAGAGGCCTGTCTTCTTTCTTTGCCACGGAGATGGTAGGACATGGATTCCATGATCCAAGTTTGCGACTTAAGAGGAAAGTGTTCAGCTGTGGCTAAGTGGATACTCCCTTGCCTGTTTTGTTATACCTTTGCAGTGTGCTCAGCTGTATATAAGGAGAAGAAAGTGTGTGTGTCACTAAGGTTTGCTGTGAAACAGAACAGCCTCCACACTGAGTGGCTTAAACCACAGTTGCTTATGGCTCATGACTGTGGGTTGCCTGGGCTGCTCTAAGGTGGGTGCGCCTCACTGGGCTTAGCCCCCATGGCTGTCCTCAGACATGCAGCCTTGCCTGGGTGGTCTGGGAAAGCCAGAGCCCTCTCCTGGGGTTCAGTGTCCATAAAATGAGTCGTGGTGGAGGATGGGCAGCAACAAGAATATCAGATTTCCTTCTGCTTGCTTCCCATTAGCTGCTATGTCATTTGTAAAGCAGCCCAGAGACCAGTGTGAAGACGTCGGTTCCATCTGCGCCTCTTTTAGGGAAAGAGACAGAAATTATAGAGGAAAACAAACCAAAAAACCAAACAGGAATTGAGCCGCCGACTAGGGGCTGCTGCGGCCTCTATGCCGCGTACCGATGGAATGTTGGAGTAAAAATACTCCAATCTAAAGTTAGACAGATAAACAGAAATTATTAAAAGCTGAAGAAAATAGGTAGACATTTAAACATAATGCTTTGGTTCAATAAAGAGTTCACATTTTATGATGAGTTTAATTTCTTTATTGAACTTTTGTAAATTTCATACAACAGTTCTTAATCAAATTTAGACCCTTCCACTTTGATGTCCCTACCTCGGCCACTGGACCTCATGTATTCCGCCATACATGTTAAGTCCTATCCAGTCAAGCATTTGTACCCAGATGTCCTTTGGTGCAAATTCATCCACTGGAGTCTAGTCAGCCGATCTAGAGATTGTTGGTAAGGCCTACTTTCCCTCACCCAGTATAATCAGTGTCCAGTAGTTCCCAGATTAGGGCCGACATGGCAGCCATTCCCTAGCCCCACTCTGGGCCCCTTAGGCCCATAAATATTCATTGAAATGTAACATCTCCTTGTTCTAATGGGCGGTCTGCCCAAGCTCATCGCACAGTACAGAAGGCAGTTTTAAAGTGCGTTCTTGATCACAACTCCTGGGCCTCAGAAATACTTGTCAAGGGCAGTGGAGGTGGGTCAGCCGTGAAGGCAGCTACCAAAAGGCTGAGAAGCCGAGTTCCATCCCTCAGACCCACATGGTGGAAGGAGAGAACTGATTCCCACAAGTTGTTTTCTGACTTCCACAAAGTACAGCATAACCTACCCAAATACATACAGAAAACAGTCTTCAATAGCAAAATACTTCTTTTTTAATATTTTATTTATTATTTTTATTTTACATGTGTGAGTGTATTGCCTGCATGTATGTGAGTGCACCAGTGTTGTGCAGTGCCGCAGAGGTCAGAAGAGGGCTTTGGATTCCCGTGGAACTGGATGGTTCATAGCTGCCATGTGGGTGCTGGGAATCGAACCCGGGTCCTCTGCTAGAGCATGCTTCTCTTATTTATTTCAGGTGCTTTTGAATTTCACTAAAATTTGGTTGTAAAATATTTCAGACCTCCCACAGACTTGTTCTACAGGTCCCAGACCTCCGCACACCCCAGGTGCTAGTGCGCCCTCTGAAGCCTGCAGGAACCAAGCTCATCTTCACTTACATTGTACAAACGTACCGTCCTTTCATTAGCCATTCATCAGTTGACTGACATCTAGATTGTTTGCAATTCCTGGCTATTCTGAAAAGGCAGCAATGAGCATCAAGGAACAGATATTTCTGGAGTATAACACAGAGTCTTTTAGAGCTTTTTTTTTATTTTTTTTTAACCTACCTCCCATGTCTTTGCCTGGATTCTGTTTTGCTTGAGCTTACCTGGGACTTGCGCATGCTGTCACCCCTGAAATTGAAAAAAAAAAAAAATGCATTCCAATTCCATCTACTATCCTTTACTTTAAAATAATGTAGTATTGTAGAAACATAAAAATTTAAACGTTTCCTACGATCTTAGGAAGCTAAGATGTAGATAATACACTGAAAACCTAGATTATATTTTTCTGTGAACTGCAAATATATACATTTTTAATTCAATGTTTATCTACTTTATCGTTTTGCAGAACTAGCATGGTGCATATTATTCTGAATGTTTCTTTCAGTTGCTAATCACAATCGGAATTCATTTTTGTAGGCACACTGTGTTCTTGAGAGATACTGAGCAGCATTCCATTGCCTGGATCTAGCTGTATTCGGTGTGGCCAGAAGGCGAATGAGGACGTGTAGCCACCCCTCCCCAGGCCATGGCACCAGCCCCCAGAGCACTGCCTTTACCAAGCTGGCAGGCAAAATGCTCTAAAACATCTCACATGCTGTCCTTGTTTGTATATTGTACGTGTTGACTCTGTGACATTTAAATATATTGATTTGCTTAGTGACTTTTCCTACCCCTGGGCTTCCTTCCTTCTAAAATCCCTGTCATCTCCTTTATTTGAGTCCCCTACTCTGAGATCAGATGTGATCGGCTAGATGAACTTCACATAGCATGGACCACACAGTGCTTTGCGTGGTGCCTGTCTCAGTCCCCTTGTCCTGAACTCCTGTTGCTGTGGGTCTCTAACCCATCATGTGAATATGCTATGACCCCTTCGTCTCTTCTGGGTGATGGATATGTTGATTGTCTGACCCTGTCAGGGTTCTGTCCAGCTATGTGGTAATGTATTACTTCATGAGTGTACATTTGGGTTTCTCTAGGGCATGTTCCCAGACTAGAGGTCAGGGTCTTCTTTAGCCCAGACTAGCCTCGAACTTACCATCTTCCCGTCTCAGCATCCCCAGTGCAGAGATCACGGGCATGTGTTACCGTGACAGGTTCCATGACTGTTTGATCATCTGCAATTTCATGTGAATTTTATATGGACTTATTTTCTAAAGAAGCTATGTCCAGGACTTTTGTTGAAGTCACAGTATAGTAACAGGTAAATCTTCGGGAAGCCAGCGTCTTTCACAATACTGAATCTTCTGACCAATGCCTGGTCTGCCGCCCCATTTATTTAGGTCTTACATGATTTGCCTAATCATACCCTGTGGCTTTCTATGCGGAGGTCTTATATGTCTTAAGTTAGAATTATTACTAACCATGGAAGGTTTCTAGACAGCACCATAAATAGCATTTTTTAACTTCATTTTCTTTGTGGCTGACATGTAGAAGTGAAGTATGTTGCCTTGTAAAATATTCAGTCATTAGTTCTAAAAAGGTTTTGGATTTTTATCTTTTCACTGTACGTGACCATATTATCTACAGCCGAAGACATGTTTCTGAAGCTCTTTTCCTTGCTATGTCGCACTGACTCTTTCTCCAGAATAAGATTCAAGTGTTTGGTAAGCATCTTTGTCCTGTTATCAAACACAAGATGAAAGTTATAATTATCTTTTTATTTCTATAACTGTTGCTCCATATTTAGTGAAAATTGATTTTTCGACCTTTATCTTGTTTTACATTTATAACCAAACTCAAAATTATAAGATACGTCTTTCTGCACATTTGCCTCTAATGATCTCCTTAAGTCAATTTCATGAAGTATGTTGCCTTGTAAAATATTCAGTCATTAGTTCTAAAAAGGTTTTGGATTTTTATCTTTTCACTGTACGTGACCATATTATCTACAGCCGAAGACATGTTTCTGAAGCTCTTTTCCTTGCTATGTCGCACTGACTCTTTCTCCAGAATAAGATTCAAGTGTTTGGTAAGCATCTTTGTCCTGTTATCAAACACAAGATGAAAGTTATAATTATCTTTTTATTTCTATAACTGTTGCTCCATATATTAGATAGCGTATAATATATAATATTTAGTGAAAATTGATTTTTTGACCTTTATCTTGTTTTACATTTATAACCAAACTCAAAATTATAAGATACATCTTTCTGCACATTTGCCTCTAATGATCTCCTTAAGTCAATTTTAGTAATCTTATTCTGGACGAAACAGATTCAGAGCTGAAATGCACTGTCAAGAATTTTTTAATATATGTTTTTATTGGATTTTCGTGTATTTCATATACTACATCTTGATCATATTTAGGCCACCTGCTCTATCTGCACCCCACATGCTGTGCCCACTGGCTTTCATGTGTTCTGCCATATATGTTAGGGTCCTATCAAGTCATGTTTGTGCCTCCAGATGTCCCTCAGGATGGATTCATCCACTGGAGCCTGGTCAGCCTATCTAGCATCACTCCCTTAGAGAAGACCAATTCTTCCTCACCCAACGGTGATCAGCTGCCAATAGCTCTTTGCTAAGGTTGGGGCCTCCTGCCCATGTCCCCAGTTGTATGCTGGATTTGTTTGTGTCTGATTGA